TCCTGAAAAATCATATGTTTTTAAAATGTGTCTATCAATAGACATCTCTTTTTTTAGACGAAATTTGATTAAAATTATATCGGTGTTTGGGGACTCTCTGAACCTCCTCACTCATCACTTCCGTAAATCCGCCAACGGTGGAATATCTCGTCAACGGGTTAACGGAAATCGAAAATGTCAACACCTTAGTATATTTAAATTAATTTAAACTCCGGCTGTTTACGGTAATTTTAATGAGGGTTGCTGAGTTATAGCATACTCTCACCACGTCTCCAAGATTAGGAACGCATTTTTTTTTTTAAACATTTTATTGGTTTCTAGATTATCAAAATCAGTATTCGTTTAAATCGTTTAGAATTTTTCCTCTGCTATTTTTACCACGGAGAATTTTGACCGTTGGTAAATTTTTTATAGATTCGTTTTTCGTAGACGTTTAAGGACATTTTTTATGACTGACAGTGACTATCAGTACTAAATATATTATTACGTTAATTACGTTTGTTGAAATTTAGGTACTCAGTTGTAGCGCCGTTACATTATGCTTCGATTCTAACTACCTACACAATATATATTTTTGGCCTCATAGAATGAGTTAATTTCGTATAGTTTTCCACGCAATCAAATTAGGTATATTTTGAAAATTGCTAAATAACGCAATTCCATTGCTAAACGACGAATATAAATATGACGGTCTAAATGGCTGATTAAATCATTTAATTATGGGACATAGCTTTTTGCCAAACAAAAAGTAAATCAAAGCGACTTCGGGCACATTAATTTTCCATAAAATATCTTCTAGAATATATGTATAGCATGCACATGTGCTATTCAAATCGAATAATAAAAATTGCTCAATGAGAAATTATACGAAAAAAAAAAAAAAAAATGTGCACCGTTCTCTGGAACCGACGGTATAATATTATGCATTTCGTTTGAATTTCCATGGTTCAAAAATAAAATAACAATAAATACAAAGTAACATAATGTATAGGTTGTACGGTGTACGTGCGATGCGATTGATAATTAAAAAACGTATAATCAACAGACTGCGCGTCCGATGATTTTATAATAAACGATAATTGAGGTCAATTCCTTCGCAAGGATTTGATAATAATATACTGTACGTAAAAACGGCGGTCTTGGAAAAAAAAAAAAAAGAGAAATCAAATTTTATAAAATTGGCGAACGTAAACTCACACCCGATAATATCGTTACGTCATTGCACACCACCGGGTATTTCGCATGCGGAAAATCGCCGTGACAATGCGCACAGTGCGATCGTTGGTCGTAATGAATTTAGTATCCCGGTGCGTATAATTGCGCGTCTCGCGCGTGGATCGTTACCGGGCGGGTACGGCGCGTACGAGATACGCGTGTGGATACGCGCCGGACCGACGGGTAGGTGTGTGCGGGCCCGAGGACTGGCGGCCGCGAGCGCAATTATCGTAAATTACGCGCGTCAATAATACGACCGTGCGCGCGCGGAGTATGTGTCGCGGCCGTAGCGGCGGCGACGAGCCGCGCGACGCGGACGCCGTCGTTTCGCGGATTCGCCGTGCGAAAACGGTGCCGAGACCCGCGTGTCGGACATCGCGTGCAGCGCCCGGTCCGTCGCACGATAATAATATCGCGGAAATGATAACGGCGGCGGTGTGATGCGCGCGCCAACGGCACGGGGGATAACGGTCGGCATGCCCCCGGACGGAGGAAAAGAAAAAAACCGGCGGAGTCCGTCAGCGGCTCCGCTTTGTCGACGTAACGATGTTTAATTTTGTTTTTTTTCGTTTTTTTAACAATATCGAAATAAAATTATCATCGCGGTTGCCAGAGTTTTGTTATTACGCACGTTTTCGTCCCTAGGAAGGGTATTTGAAACCGGTGCACCTGTTTCCTGTTTGAACCATGAAACAATGGTTCCGGAGGGGTTAAGAGTTTAAATCCCCAACGGGCAGATATGTGATACTTACACCAAAAGCGTAACCAAATTGTACTTTTATCGGTTTAATTTTTGGCGGTTTATATCGCGATTCGGGTGACCAAATCTAAAAAACCGTCCTCCTCCCGAAACAACAACGTCGTATTCTTATTGAAATTCAATTGAAACTATATCGCTTTGATCCGCCAATAAAACGTCTCTGATTCCCGTGTTTGAACACATTTGATCCAGAGGATGCTGATCTGAAAATAGAAGAAGCGGGAAAAATATATAATATCGTGTTATTATAATATTGACACAATACAGTGCAATAGTCTCTATTTCGGGAACAATTCAACAATAAAATTTAAAACGGCCGACTGGCGTGTGACTTTTGTTGGTAAAAAGTTGGAAAAGTAGAGTTATATTTAATTCATACGTGTACACAACGATAAAATCATTGCGAAAACGAAACACGATCGAAGTTCGGTTAAACACGTTTTAAATGCCGTGATTTGTACAATTTTCGACGAAATGTGTACTTTGAAATGATTATAAAAAAACTACTACGTTACGCTAAAATTGTTTTTGAACACTAAGTACGACTTACGATGGACCTTGTGTTCAGTTTTCAAACATTTCTGCGCGGCCAGATAATAATAATATCATGTATGTAAAACCAAATCATAATTTAAAAACTAGAAACTATCAAATAAACGCCAGAATGTTTTGTTAATTTTATCGCGTCTATAAAAAGCTAATATAAGTATTTTGAGAACATTTTAAGTCTCTACGATATTTTTTAACCGAATCAAAACAATAAAACAAAATTATTACATATACAATAATTACATATCCGTTATATATTTTCTTTAATAATATTTATTGAATGTTTTACCTGTTTTCCCGTTTTTCCTACATTTTTCCCGTTTATTGGGGAAATCAAAAAATGACCTTCTTAAAGTACCCCACCAGTCAAATTTCCTTTCAAAAAAAATGCTATCATTGAAAATCGGTGTAAAATTGTTGGTAGAAAAGTTGTCCATAGAAAAAAATAATAAAAATAATTGTAGAACCATAAGCTTATTTATTACATTCGGAATCTAAAAGAACATTAGGAACAAAACGCTCGGCTTAATCGAAGATACGTTCGATTTTTATTTAAATAGCATTCAACGTACGTTACGTTCTGCGTAAAAAAAACTCGAATATTTTTTGAAAATTCCATAATCCATCCCGTTTTACGATCGTCTTCCTCCAGCAGTTTCTATCCGCCGGCTAAATATTCTAATTTAGTTTACCCGCTACTAGCCTCTGCGTTTTTCCTGACCACAATTTACTACGGGGTCTTCGTAGTTCTCAAGGCTGTTGGAATGCATACAATCAGCGACATAACACCAATCGTTACATCATGATAAATCTGTCTATTGTTGTATAATATATGATGCATTCAAGTAGGAGGATACCTACGATCAGTGGCGTATTTAGGATTTATCGCTGTTCTGGGTACATATAATATGTTCTACGGTGTGTCCCATCATTCGGTTATCGCGTAGTACGTATATTACAGTGTAAAATATAAGTTTTCTATAGCTATTGTGCTGCTAGACTTTCAAAACTTTCGCTCAGAACCGTCTGGTCAATGGTTCACCATTAAATATAAATAAAACAATATTCTATGTATCCTGTCATTTTAAATTTCCATCAAAAACAGCGGTACGCCTATTAGCAATACTAGTTGTTTTTTTTTTTTTTTTGTTGCCAAAAACGTTGACGAAAGTGCTAAACGCGTTTAATACGGTTTTGACGAATCGTTTACCGTCACTTGATGATGACGAAACGTATGACGAACATCAGCGTCCTAGATATCCATAATAAGAATTATTTTTATACGTATCACGGTTTACGGTCTTTGATAGGTACCCATAATTCTTTTTTCGCTCCCTTTTAGAAATCCGTAACGTTTACGAAAAAACATCACGTATTTCAGTCAAGGATCCCGAGGGACCGTACAGATACGCGTTATTATAATACGGTACTTGTAGTACTGTTCATCAGTTCAGATTAGACAATTTTTAGCTACGGCTATGAGCGCTACGTGGACGTTTTATTTGATTTAGAAACGGGATGTTTATACAATATTATTATAATGTTGCGGGTAATGGGTTTTTTTTCTTCTTCTGCGATTTCGTTCGATATTAATCGGTTAATATTACGGGACGGTTTTTTTTTTTGTTTTTTTTTTTTTTTTTGCTGTTGTTTTTTGTCGAAAGAAGATTTCACTTGACCGTACGCATTAACGCGAAGTGGCTATATATATATATATATATATGTGCACAAAGTAATTTCTACAAAACGACGTACGTTCCGCGGTCGGAACAATGTGAAGGCTACAATTACGTAATGATAATATTATAGTCTCGGCACTCATTACATTTTACGGATTTCGTTGATACGCGCCTAACCTAGCCACTATTGTAAACGTCCGAATGTTATTATTATTACGCGGATACGCCGTGTAATGACGCTATGTAAACGATAGTGATGCCCGCGATTTTCTCGAATTATTTAGTTTTCGAGTCTACGGGCCGGTTTTTTTATTTTTTTTTTGAGAACGTTTTGATCGGTTTTGTAATAGACGCGTGTATAAATCGAATATCGGTTTTACGCGTGTCGAAAATTTTGGAAAAACGTTTAAAGGGAGGCGATTTACAATTGATATATTGTTATGCTTCGACGGTGTACGGATAATAAGGGTATGGTTTCGAAAATGTTTCAAACAAGATCATTAAACGATTATATTAATATTCTGGGGAGGGGAGGGGGTACCATACGTCCACATTTAACTCGAAATCTTCGCTTGGTCGTGATAAAAAAAAAAAAAAATCATTTTGTTTTACTGCGATAATAATAATAATACAAGAGTAACGATCAGAACGTAACGAGTATGAGGTATATTGTCAAACCGTGTGTACAGAGTCGTGTACCTACAGGTAGAACAATATAATATTTGAATGTCTATATATGGAAACATATTATACTGTGCAAAGACGTTATTGGGTACTTAGGCGTACGGCGCGGACACGAGTAGTTATTCAAATTAGGCGCCGTCGGTGTGCGCAACAAACGATGTACCTGTTTGATAACGATGATGTGGTTTAATTTTTTATTTTTGTGACTCCGTTGACCGATATAACGCGCGATACCGAAACGGTCGCGATACCGTCGGTACGGGAACGCGGTAACAATATTGACGATTTTCCTCGACAACGGGTAACTATAAATAAATTCTATTCCTCGTGAAAACGTCACAGAACGAACAGCACCATAAGTTTTTGAAAACGTTTTAAGCCAAAGACATTGTTAGATTCCAAGCAGCGAAGTGAGAAACGTATTGGGCTTTTTTACTATGATTAACGGGTTTTTTTTTTTTTAATTTTTGGTGTCCGTGAACAATTTTTTTTATCGGAAATCTCATTCCGATCATCAACTTCAAGAGTCAGTTTTGGTAGAACAATTAGTTGGCGCATTAAGGAGGCCGTTTTTGTTTATTTCATTATAGTGTTTTCTTAATAATAAGAGAACAACGGGAATATATATACGATTCGTTTTCCATTCGGAATTTTTTTCACAATTCAGTTTTAGGTAATCGAAAACAGAAATCTAAATTTTAGCATTTTCTGGAATATTTCGAAAAAAATGTCGGTGTTTTTAGATTTACGAATAGTCGTTTGAAATTGTTGATTTTTTTTTTTTTGATGTACGTATTTGATTTTTATCAGATGTAGTTTAAGATTATATTTATTTTGAAATTCGTCTGAAAACGAATAAATTTAATTTACTTTGTAGTTATACATATTAATTCAATTTATTATTTATTATTTAATGGCATTTTATTATTTTTCGGGAAATCTTGTCTGAAATTAAACTGATGTAATGTCGGTGAAGTGATAATCAACACATTTATTCGCGTCGGCGCATAGTTTTCATTAACATATGCGAAAATATGTAATATCGCGATCAAATATGCGACAATGCGCAAAATAAAATTTCGCAAATTACTTCCGATTAGCGTGGTTCGTAATTATAGATCATTAGCGAAAATCTAAAAAACTATGAAAAGGATGAGAAAATAAACAAATCCGGGTTTTAAATATTATTACCCACCTACATGTTTAACCGGATCGAAAATCGATTTTCAATTTGCAATGATTTATCGTTT